TTATTGTGAAGCTGATCACAACCCTTACCGTATTCCTTTTTAAGTTTGGCAAACAGAATTTCAGAGCGTTGAAGAACATGAGTGGTGTGTGAAGGGAGCGCGTATAATAGAATCCCATTCTCTTTACAGTATTTTATGCTTGTGTAATTTATGTGGCTTTTATGTCCATCGAGCATAAGTAAAACCAGATGTGCAGGGGGTATTGAACTGGCAAAGTGCTCGATATACATTTGGAAAAGTTCTTCCTGCATATATCCAGAATCGGTGAAGCCCATAACGGAACCACTTGGGGCACCAGATAATAAGCCTGGAATTACTCGAATGCCTTTATAAATGAATAGAGAAGGAATATAATCACTAGCAGCTGAAATAGTTGGTACTACGGAAATATGGTCGTGTGCGTTCCCATGAAAGATTTTATGGACTTGATGAGCCCCTTTTATAAAGTTGGAAGTTCATGATTATTAGTATCAAATATTAATTACAAGACAATTATTGTCACAGCTGATGCTGGAAACGGCTGAAGCTGGAAATCAGGGACCCTGATTTAAAAATATAAACACTGCCAAAATCCACTTATACTCTTTCATTATAAAAACTAACCCTAAATCCTAATCTAACCATGAAAAAAAAGCTAAAAAAATGCACCCCAAAAAATTTTGAAAATTTTATAATAAAATATTTAAAATTTTCAGCTTCAGCCGTTTCCAGCTTCAGCCGCAACAATAGTTATAACGAATACCAGCACGATCATATGAAATATGGAGGGATAGTTCCGTTCAACTTTTTGGTGCGCTAAATTTTTTCCTATTTAGAAAATGTTATTGATCAGAGGATATGTCCCAAAATTTCATACCCTAATGCATGTTCATAATAAATTTGCACATCATTTTCTGCGAATTTCATATTAAAAAAAGCCTATTGAAGAAATTTATCATTTGCTTTACCCTTTGGATAAAATAAATTTGGAGACAAAATTATTTTAAAAGAAAGCCAAAGAACCCTACTGTATATAGTCGCAGGTTTTATCTGCGTATTTAATTTAGGTTTAGAAGGACCTTGATCTAAAGTTAATTGAATGATATGTATCACGTGATGCACATGACTATCATTCTGTGTCGGTATTGGTTGGATATGTCGATAAATTGAGTCATAACGATGATGCATCATTCATGCGAATTTATATAAAATAAGTTAAGTTTGTTACTAAATGGCAACAACGAACAATAAACAATGAAATGTTAGCAATGAAAAATGAAATGGTAATAATGCGTATGTAAAGTCAAAGAAAAAATAGTAACAATGCGTATGTAAAGTCAAAGAAAAAATGGTAACAATGCGTATGTAAAGTCAAAGAAAAAATGGTAACAATGCGTATGTAAAGTCAAATAAGAAAAAAGTAACAATGCGTATGTAAAGTTAGAAAAAAAACGGTAACAATACTAAAGAAGAACAATGGTAACAATGTGTATATAAAGTTAAAGAACAATAGTAACAATATGTATGTAAAATTGAAGAAAAAAATATTTCCTTCACATAAGTAAACTATGTTCTTTTCGGCAGATAAATTCATACCTATTGGGTTATAAATATTTAAAAATATATATAAGCAACATTTGTAATAATGACACTCTGGTTTTTGTCAGATACATTGTTCCTAATAACGACAACATTCTGGCTTTTGTCAGATACACTGTTTCCAATAACGCTCTGGCTTTTGTCAGATACACCGTTCCTGGTAACTGGTGCTACATTATATTGCTTTTTTAATTACTATACTTTTTAAAAATCCTGCAATAAACTATGGATACCGAATCGTTTGACCATGGAGAAGGTTTTGAGTATTGTGACCCCGATGTTGACTACGAGATATTGTATGATAATGAAAGCTACCTTGAAAATACATCCAAAATTCCATCTACTCCAAAGACCACAACGGATAAAAGTATAATGACTGATCACGAATATGCTAGTAAAGATTTTGCATTTGATGAAAGAGCACTAAATCATGCGAAAAATTTTGTAATATCAACTATTGAACATTTAGAGCAAGACGAAAGTGATATTAACTGGTTAACACCAGATGATAATTTACAATCAGAAGTTGAGTCCATGTGGACTCTACCAACGGACGATATTAATGTAATCGATTATGAAATAGATGGTGATTCAGGTACTAATGATCAAGACAAAAAAACAGAACAATGTGTTATTATTGATTATGAGGAGGGACGTTTTCAACGCTGCTTGAGAAATATACATAGACCAATTAAACAGCTCATGGGAATTTGGGAATTAGACTTTCAGACATTAGATATAGCAATTAAGGTTGGAACAAACAATGCATTAAATAACTTAGGGGTTTGCTCTCACCACTTCTATTTTGATCAAAATATACTCCATTTATCAGGATCAAAACATCAAGTTTCGATTGATAAAAGTTGGATCCATAAACGAAAATGTATGTATTGCAATACCGATAGATTTTTTTTTAGTCGAGGAGGGTGCTGTACACAGCATTTATGGAAAGTATTCGGACGAAATATTTGTATACCTTGTGCTGGTTTAAAAGTTTGTGCGGCATTTGTTGAGAGGGATGATGAGTTTGTCAAATCATCCACGAGTCAAAAACGGTCGAAGTTCGTTTGCTCTCGTTGTTTTGATAATGAAGGAGGGCATTTTTTTCAACGAAGAAAAAAAGGCATTGCGCAATTCTCTTGTATTGAAAAGCATATGGATGATAATCAATTTTCTCTTCAACTTCTTGGGCAATGGATTCAAGAAATGGCAATAGACAAGAATCAACAACTAAAGACTGTGCTTTTAGAAGAGATCTGGTCAGCTGTTCTAAGATTTTTAAATAAAAAAACAGATATGACTAAGGAATCAAATAACAATATAGAAATGAACCAAACTAAACAAACAAACCTACCAACATACTTTGGAGTTAGAGCTGCCCTTCGTGTAAAAAAAGTAAATTTACATCGTTTAGAAAAGAGAAACCAGTATATCGATCTTATAACTAATCAATCAGAAGAACTAGGAGAAGCTTTAGGGTCCGTCGTTTGGAGGATAAGATCAGAAGTATGTGCACAAAAAAAAGCACTTGAAACGCCAAATAATTTACAAGAGTTTTACAATGCATTTCCTAAGCCTATAAAAGAATTATTTAATTATTTTGTTATTTTTATTTTACAAAGAAAGTGGGAAGTAGTGCAAAGAAAAGTATACAACGTGGATTAATTCCAGCAGAATTTGATAATTCAAGAGCTATAAAAATTTCCACATTTATAATATCATTAATTTTTTCAATGGCATTTCCGGGTATCAATATTTGGTTCTCACATGTAATGAGTTCTCTTTGCAGAAAACCCAAACTATTAAGCTCGCTTAATGCAATTTTATGTACCGCGAATGTGTTTCCCATACAAATCGTTATGAAAGGATGTTAGAAAAACAAAGAATTAATAACATTGATATATCAAAAAGATTGTTACGGGGAGACAACATTTGGAACTTGTGTATAATAGATAATCTTGACATGAGGGAAAGTACGTTTGCGTATGATAACATATTTGATGTTACAAGACGCACGACACACATTACACTTCGGATGGTTTTCCAGTTTGAACTACCACAATCATTATCTAGTAATGCTGAACAATATAGTTTATTTGACGAGTATGAGTTTCGAGTTGGAATGTCAGACTTTACAATAAATGAACTTCAAAAATTCGAAGATATTTTTAGTTCTCTTTTAGATTCTGGTAAAAGTTTTGATATTTTTATTTTATGGCAAGAAATTAAGAAGGATATTAAAATAGGATGCCAGGTAGCTCCACCAAACATCGTTATTCTAGAGCCTGGAGAAAACCCATGTTGTGACGAAAATGTTCATAATGCAGCAAAAATGTATTATAATGATATTGGACTTGACAGTAATGGAAGCCTTTATTTAGCATCCGATGAGGCTATATTTCGACGACTTGCAAAGTTGCATGTAACTCAGCCAGAAATATCTTTGTTACTAGGTGGATGGCATACATCAAAAATAATGTGCGCTACACTACTTCATATCTTTTCTGGTTACGGAATTTTTAAATTAGCAGCTAATTTAGGGGTAACTTATTTAGATAAACTCGAGAAGGTGGTTGACTACATGGCTACATGCGTGTTCTAGAGTTATTGTGGATTGCGGTGGGTAATGCTCTTTGTCAATATATGAAAACCCAATTTATGAAAATGAAAGATATTCAAAGCAGTAACAATAAGGTAGTTAGGGTTTGGTACCTATTTTTTTGCTGGGCAGGTTTATGGTTAGGTCATAGGCTTGGCATTTGTCATGAAAATTATGAGATGCAAATCGAAAACCTTATTTCATTCGCCCCTCTTTTTCCAGTTGTAAGGCATAGTAATTATGCCCAATCCGTTACATATTTCTTATCGTATGTTGGGAGAAATCCTATATTACAACAAATACTTAGACATGTTTGTTCTGTAAACTTAACACGTCCAGGCCATTACTTTGCCTTTGATGAGGCTCTTGAAAGGTTTGGCGTTAAGTTTGTAAAACAAAATATTGGATCTGTAATTAGATCACACGAAGATTTGAAATCCAGAATTATTTCATTACAGTCTGAGCAAGAACGTTTAAATTTGCTTTAAGTGAATATATCGATGAGAATTCATTAATTCCAACAGATAGGTCTTTAAAATCTCGTGAAGAAGTACTTCGAAATCTAACGAATCAACTATTAGAAGCATTTAGTCTACAAGATCCTACACAGCATCAACTTTTTAAAGAAACATCTCAAAATACTAATGAAGGGTTTCAACGCCTTTTTGAATGTTATGATATAGGAAAGGATCAATTAAAAATTATTTACAAACAAGACATTGAAAAATCAATACCACGAGATACATCAGGCAGGCACGCCCAAAATGTTATTGTTGAGCCTTGTGCTCAAAAACAGAAGCGCAAGAAAGAAACAAAATAGAATATTTTACGAGTGGTTACATGATATAAGGTCGGGGTTGCTTACAATATATTTTTATTTTTTAAAAAATCATGTACTGTATTGTGTATTATGTATTTTTTTTTAAAAAAAATAAATATTTACTATTAGATGTTTAAATACTTTTTTGATGTCCAATATTTTGATTTGAAATTTCTTCGCACTTGCTGCATAGTTAATATAATTAGATTCTATCTAGCATATTTATCGAATATTATAATAATTTTGGCTCATATCTTTTTTACAAAGGCAAAAATTTTGAAATATTTTAGCAGCAAGTGCTTCACGTGACTATTCGAACTAATCCAAAATGCATATCGAGTAGTAATTGACATGTCAAATAAGAAGTGTCACTGAAAATAACTCACAATAACAATAACGATCCTTCTAAATTTGATTTTTAACTGCAATAAAAATTTTAGATAAAAGAAAATACGATACTAAACAATGCATATCTAAAGTTTTAAAATAGATTATAATTTTGTATAAAATTTAAATGAATTTTTTTTATCGATTTACATATAAAAATTCGATGTGACAAGTCATTTGACTATTAATAATTAGCAGTGTGTGTGACATTTCCTTTGACCGTTATGGTTATTGTGTGTTGCTTATTTAAGTATTATACCAGTACGATCACATGAATGTGTAACATGAAATGTGGGAGGGATGGTTTTTTTAAACTTTATCGATGTCCACCCCATGTGACTTTTTCGCAAAATTTTTTTACCGACATGATCACATGAA